TGGCTTGCTTTTTTGGCAGCCGATTCGGCCATCGAACCGGAGTTTAAATGGAAGCTGATAATAACCCAAAGCTCTGAGAAAAATTTTGAGATGAGTATAAGAACGGTTTGTTGTAAGTAGCGAGGAGAGGCGGGCAAAGCGGCTAAAATCCTATCTAATTTTTACAGTTTTTCTGTTGAATTAATGTTGCCGCGGGCTTCTGACTGTCCACACATAGTTCTGTTCAGCATATCGATACATAAGTATTTACATTTTACATACGTAGAATCTAATTTTCACGTCGGGGAGTTGACATATTTTGATTTTTTCGATTTTATACGGAAAATTGATGGTTTTTCGGGATTGAAATTATTATTGTTTCATGAAAAATAAATGCACCCAAAATGACTATAGCATATTGATTCTTACACATTTGCACTCACAAAATTGGTTGGTAAATTCAACGAGTGGGTGCATCGACCTGGTATATCAAGTTTCTGCAATTTTTTACGGCAAATCAGTAGATTTTCGGGATGTAGATTGCTTACTTTCAATTCATGAATGAATAAAGCAACGACATGGTTGAACTTCTTTGCATGGAAAGACGTTTAAAATAACAAAATCAAGACGTATTTAATGCAATTGCATTTATATCGAGTCAATTTCTTTTCAATAATATAACGGGATTTTTACTACCGGTGATTTGGGTATTTTAGCCCCAAAATACCTTTAAATCGACTTTATCTTCTAGGAGTTCGACAGAATTTTTCCTTTCTTCGCTTAAATTATTCCGTAGCACTTTTCTTCAAGAATCTGATAAGATTTTGCTTGAGGCAGATCAAAAAACTTAAATTCGATCGAATAGCTTTCTACTTTCACAATACACGGTCTCGTCAAGGTGCGTCTTTGACCTCGCAGTGTTGGATCGTGAATTCTCTTTTTATGCTGTTTGCCTATTTTGAAATCTCTGTAAATGAAAACTAAAGGGGTTGATATGTGCGAGTTAATGACGCGCCTTATCAACACATTGTGTTGGAGTTCACTGTTTGTTTTTAATATATCTTGAATGAGCCTCATTTTCAATCACATGGAGAATAGATCGAGATACACGAAAGTGCGAACCTTGAATTCGCCTTTACATAAATGACGTTGACCCAAATTCACGCTGAATACGTGTTTGTCCCGTGCGGGATCGATTAAACGCTCGAAGGGTCTCTTTTTAGTTATCTCTCTCAATTTTTCCACTCTCCATGCTTGGAAAGCTTCAAGAGCGATGAAAGTCATTTAAATAACGCGCTTTTGTCCACCGATGCTCGGTCCGGCCAGCAACCGTATCGATCAACAAGCTTTTGTGCAAGCACATTCTGCCGTCCTTGGTAAAAACCTTACTTCTATACTGTGTTTTCTGAAACTAAATGCGGTTCCATCCGCCCTGGAGATTCGTGGTATGCAGCGGTGACGCGTAAATGATCGATTATCGATATTTTCCCATTGGAAGCTATGGTAAAGAATCGATTATTAAGGTGAACGTTGCGGATATACTGTCATTGATCCTTTTCCATAGATTTGAATGGCAGATCAATTGATGTCTCGCAAAGGACGCCTTGCTACTCGTGGTATGGTGTACCTTGCTGCGTTATACGTAAAAACTACGGATCTAAAATTGAGCTCTGGACTGCTTCGAGAAACCGAAATGTAGTGATGCACATAGCGCTTTTGTTGCGTTTTTTAGGCCTTGAGAATCCATTTATCTACATGTCACTTTGCAACGAGATGCATCTATGCCCAAGCAATACCAAACCACCGACAAATCAATTTTAAATTTTTTAGCGCATAAGTCTTATTGAGCATGGCCGATTCAATTGGATTGGCGTTGAAATTTTGAGGTCTCACCCGGTTCTAAAAAGAAACAGATGACTTCTTCTTGTTAAGGAGGAGTCGCGGATTTGTACTGTCTTTTCTTTAAAATAACGGGATATTGCCCCAGCTCCGAAACCAAGAGTGTTCTCTACGCGCTGCGAAAAACCGAGAAAATACATGGGGTTTCCTTCGAAGTAACGCGGTTTTGGATGCATTTAAGACCTGGTATTTTGCAGAAGGCGGAAATTCATTTAATTCTGGCCGCCCTGTTGGGTCACGTAAACCGGTAGCGGCGTGGCCACGAAGAGGGGTGGAGGGGGAGGGGCAGGGCACGGTGACGAGGGGATGAAAATGTCGGGGTGGAGCACAATTTGAGCGAGGTTTAATCGCTCATTACTGCAGTTAACTTGCGCTACCTAGCACCCTCGGGGAGAAGGCTAAATTGACACGTGTTGCAGTTTGACTTCAGACCCTAATAATTTTGCTTCTAGTTCCATGTTTACCATCGTTTAATGGCGATGATTGAATATTCACCGCTCGTCGTGATCGAAGCAGGGCTCGGTCAGATCCGCGAGACATTCATCATTATTTTGGGGACAGGAATTATTATTGCATACCTACAACTCGTGATCAGTGTGTAAATTCGATCCTTAGCGTTTCGAACATGGCCGAATCCGTGATGAGTAACTCGATGTTGGATTTTCCGATGATCTTAAATTGATAGTTGATCTCGCGATTAACCAATTAACACTGAAACCGGTTAAAAATGTTAACCTCTCTCTATAAATGAAGAAGTGGAACTTCAAAATCATTGCAGCGTATTTGGTATATTCTGCTGGATGGACATTTTGTCAAGATTTTGCTGAACAATCAGCAGTTTTCTCCTATTGGTTTCAGGATATTTCGTTGAAGATTTTTTGTCTGCGCACCGCTTTTGTCCAGTATGGTTTACGTCCACGCGTAAAATGAGCTACAGTGACTTGGTCCAAGCGTCATATTTTAGTCCGTAGGTAAAACTATATCAACAATATCGAAACAAGAAAATTGAGAGAGAAGGAGGTGTTGTTGTTGTGATAACTCATTTATCAAATGAAATGTTACTTTCTTCTTTCGATTCATCCTTTCAAATTGTCATTGGTGAATATTTGGTTTTATTTCTATCCTTAATTTTTCGATAGGAAATATACCTCATTGTATATACATATATTTTGACGGAAATATTACTTCATTTTAAAAACATTTACATTTCCAAAACGTAGCAAATATGTGTAAACCCTTTTCAAAGCGATGACATCGATTTTTATTTCATTGAGCCGTAGTAGTGTCGGAAGAAATTATATAAAAATGGATAAAAGAGGAAAAAACCTCGAGGTACGCAATCTTTGGTTTTAACCCATTTGTTCTCCTATCTTTTAGAGCCAAATACGTCCAATTTTAGCGTTAAGTTTCGCGCACACCACGCTGCAGCAAAAATGCACAAAATACAGAAGAAAAATTAAAATGCTTTAGAAATCATGAAATTTGACACGGAACAACCTAGATATTTACAAATCATCCAGTATGCGTTCCTTTAAAACTTTTTCATTTTTCATCAATGATAACGAGAAGAATCCAGACGGAGTGTGCGAACGCTTCAAAATTATGTTTTGAAAACGCTGACTCCGCGAGTTTGAATATTGAAGCCGAACAGAGCGGAGCGGCGGCGTGCTGCCAGCGCGACACGCGCATTGGCGCCTACAAACCTAACAGGGATACTTACCGCGTTGCGCGACACGCGCAGCGGCGCCTACGAACCTAACAGGGATACTTCCCGCATTATGCCACGCGCGCATTGGCGCCTACAAACCTAACAGGGATACTTCCCGCATTGCGCGACACGCGCAGCGGCGCCTACAAACCTAACAGGGATACTTCCCGCATTGCGCAATGCGTGAAGTATTCCTGTCAGGTTGGTAGGCGCCAATGCGCGTGTCGCGCTGGTCGCCCTCGCCCGCCGCGCTCCGCGGTTTACCACGGAGCTTCAAGCAACTATTCCGCAACAGAGGTGTTACACAGTATCATACTGAATTGACGGCGTTCCAACAGCCTAAGAGACTCATATATTTTAAGAGTACGGCGCACCCCTCGCAAAATAAATCAAGATACCACGGCACAAAAAAAGAGAGGTAGTCCAAAAACTCACTAAGTCCCAGCATCCGTATTTAATGACGTTTATCATAATTTTTGAACTTCATTACAGAAAAAAATGACTTGGTTTAGGCAGAAACATTCTTGAGTATGCCATCAAGAATATTTTATTTTGAATCAAGAATAAAATAGCTGAATGAAAGCGGGTGTCTGCTTGATGTGAGTGACTATTTTCATATAGGCATCTTTTCTTCTTTAAACAAGCATTATTTTCTTTATCGATTTGTAAGGAAATCTTCTCGGTGGTATTCGAGCATATTTTTGCTTGAATTAAGTCACTATTTCTTCTAATGAAGTTCAAAAATCATGCGAAACGTTATTGAATACAGATACGAGGACTTTCGAATAAACTAATACTGGCGATAACGTTCGAATATTCTCCTTTTCTAAAATGATGTAAAGGGGCGTGAATTTTTTTCAGGAGATTATTTGCCTCGGCCTCTTTTGAAAGTACATTTGTATGATGTATGCTCTGCGAGCGAAAGTGGTATTATTTTTAAACAGTCCCTTCAACATAATGTATCAGGCATCATGGCTACTCTAGGAGTCTTACTTCATCGGGTACCCATTGTTTGAAGATTTTTACATAAGAAATGCTTGTAACACTTGCTTTCACGTGTTTTTTTTTTTCGTAATTTGCCTCGCTAGAATTGGACTTCGAAGAAGACTTAGAAATTGGCTTAGAAGAAAGGAACCAAGCCAAATCAGATATTGCCAAATTTAATTCGGCAATTTAATTTTTTACAAGAGAATGTTTATGCGGATTCCTTTGCAAATTTTGGGGCACTCGCTCAGTACTGTGCAGCAAATTCACCAGAGTTTGTAAAAAAATCCGCACAATTGTTTTCATGTAAAAAATTAAATTGCCCGATTAAATTTGACAATAGCTGATGGGGCTTGGTTCTTTTCTATTTAACGCGGTCCGAATACTTGCTTTGTCGATTAAATTTCACTTAACTTCTGCTTGTCTACAGCCACAACGATTTGCCGTGGAACATAAGGAAATTCATCCACAATCAACTGTCTTCATTTAATTTTTCATCTGATCTGCGTACGGTGGAACCCTGGTCAAAGAGTAATTGGTCACAAACAGACCTACCTCGCCTAAAAAAGGGGATGGTTGGAGCTCAGGTGAGCTATATACTTTTACGAAAAGATATTTTCAAAATTTCAAAAGAACTAAATAGGGAAATTGATTCCAACGATCAAGTTACTTAATAGATTGGAGAAAATTATTTGCATAAGTAAATTAAAAGAAATGAAGTTACTTTCTAAAACTGCGAAACAATTTGAACCGACTAACTAATATGCACTGTCACCACTGAATAGACCTCTTAGTTCTGATATTCTTCATGTAACAACGCTTGACTCAGTAAGAAAATCCCTTTAAATATTTGACTTATAATGATTAACTTGCTATTTCATGTCTTTTGATTTTTGCTCCTAATAATGTTGCTCTCCTAATGGTGTTTCAGTTTTGGTCAGCTTATGTGCCGTGTGGTGCTCAATTTTTAGATGCTGTTCAACTTACAATGGAACAGATTGATGTGATAAATAGATTAATTTCACTTTACAATTTAGATTTACAATTAGCAACCTCTGTAAAAGGTAAGACCTTAATAATTTTCCTCACGTATGTTCATTTCATTATCGTCAATTAACTTTGTCTTGATGTAACCTGAACTTTTATTTATTATCAACAGCTAAGGGTCCAGGTTTTTTTTTTTTTTTTTAGTTATTTTTACTTTGTTGTTTCCTAGTTGACAAGGGATTGATTTCATTCCAGAAATGTTTGAGGCATTTTGTTGTTTAATATAGCCTTGTTTACCCATTTTCTTTTTTTTGGTTTTCATCAGATTGATCGGACTATTTTAACGTTTTGTCCAATCTCCTCTGTGATCAAGTTGATTCTAAAATTTCACCACATACTTTAGGATGAAGACGAAATTTATGGTTGTTAAATTTAAAAAGTGATATATTTAAAATGTAAAAGAGCTCAAAGTCGAAAGTCCATACCTAAGTTAATTAATTCTTTACATTATATCACACGATCCTTTAAAAATAGCAGTTAACAATTTCTTCATGGAAGCCCTGACATTTTAATTGTCACTATGCAACCATAGTGGACATTGACCTTGAAGGTAAAACGCATAATGTATTTGTATAGTGTCTTTCATAACATTAAAAGAGTAGCTCCGACCAATGAGATCACCATAAGTGGCGATAAGTATGCTTAAATAGACTATTATTTCTAGTGTTTTAATATCATGTTCAACATTTTTTTTAAAATTAAATTGCGTAATACGAAGAACCAAAACCTCCGAACCAGCATGTTTTCAAGTGTTTGAACGTACGTCGTTTTTCAAAATTTCTTACTCAGCACTCCTCTTGAGAAAATCACTTAAACTTGATTTTCATTCACAGGTATACACGAAGCCAAGAAGGCTGGCAAAATAGCTAGTCTGATTGGTGTAGAAGGAGGTCACTCGCTCGGCAATTCTTTGGCTGTGTTACGGACATTTCATAGTGTCGGAGCAAGATACCTCACGTTAACACACACCTGTCACACGCCATGGTAAAACATACTTTGATATTGATTTGTTTTTTTTATTTTTTACATTTTTATTTTTGAAAGGAGAAATATTTGCGTGAAAAATTCAATCAAATCAGTACTTTTAAGAAAAGCCGAAGTCCATTTGGCCGTATGAACCCCCGGGCGTTGCCACATTTCTTCTGATAAAACTCATATTTCTGAGTGAATTTATGAATATTTTCCTTCCAATTTTTCAGAGGATTTTTTTCGCGATTTTACCTGAAGTCCCTTAAAATTTCACGGAAAATCAGTCATAACTCTTCTCAAGAATGATCATTTTACCGGAGGGAATTTGACAACTCGCGATTGTTCATACGGCGTTTTTCCTTAGCACGGCAGGATAATAGAAGCATCTTCAACTCACTTCAACAGCACGTTGTGCAACCCTGCTTTTAAGAGAATGAGCGGTACTCATTAAAGCCTTAAATAGACTTAAGTGCTTTAAAAGAGGTCCTACCTACGTGCTAAAATGTTCTTTGCGATTAGCAATCTTTAATATTCTGCCTCAGTTCTGAAGTTGTATCTCAAAATACGGATAACATTGACGATTCAGAGTCTGGGTTCCACCTTATCGCTGGAAAATACTGGTGGTTTATTTATTTTAAGCATGTGTTGCAATTCTGTTGACGCAAATCATATTCTTTCCTTTGAATATTTTATTAAAAGTATATTATAGGGATTATCACATGATAAAAATCATTAACAGTAAACTTCGCACTATGGTCAAAGTGCAGTCTATGTATTGGAAATTTAAGGATTTTCTGACTAGGACATGATGAGTCTTTGAACGCGCGATTCTTCCTCCCTGGACTGGACCTAGATTTTTCAGCTCACTTAACCAGAATTACGAATAACTCAACTAGAATTACAGTTAACCGAACCAGAATTGTACTCGGATACACCCTCAATTTGTTTAGGCGAGCCAAAATTCTGGCGGACACGACTAGAAAATCTATAGTTCCGAGATAAAACCGGAATTTTCGGTCCCAAACCTTTCTTCTCCTTTTTCGATAAAAAATATTTTCGGGACAATGTGCCGTCTGATGAATGTTAGTCCTCTTTTGTTGAAGTAGGATCACTTTCGAGGTACATTCTAAAATTCTACGAGTGGGGAAAAATGCCGCAAAAGCAGTGAGGGACGAAAACTTCGTAATTCCCCGGAGTGTGCCCCCAATAAAACTGGGAGTAAGCGTTAGGCAAACTTAAAGCCGGCTTTGTTCCACTTTTTCCCATACACCTTCCTGAATAAAACCTCGCAGCCCGATGCCGTAATATTTTGCGAGGGACAGCTTTAACCTCACCCCCTGTCTCGCTAAGGAGATAACTCAAAATGGATGGCCTTAATTTATTAAAGATGCTTATGCTATTCGGCTACCCATCGTGTCCAATTTTGTTCTCTCTGTCGTTCCTCCACTCCCGGTCCCTTCTCTACGTTCCTTTCAGTAAGGTCTGCCTAATTTCACTCAAAGACACATTTTCGTTGAATGAGAGATGAACAACTGGTGATTAAGTTACTCTTAACGGTGAATATGTGACCGTCTACAGCAAATCATAGTAATCACCTACAAGGAAAAAGAATCTTTCCCCAGCTATATTGTTCAATTTTACTGAAATTACGTAAAAATTGTCCTTTCTATGATGCTCAAAACTACCATAGTCACAATGTAAGCCACATGGGGTATCTTCACGAAAAGAGCAGCATAAGGGACAGCTATGAATGCGGCCCTTGGCCGTCGAAGGGGCTTTGAGAATAAGCAAGAAGAGATGCCTCGATAGATCGAAACATGAAAATCTGGCATGTGCCTTACCTGATGACAAAAGGAGGGGAAGGCATAAAAAACCATCACTCGTGAGGCTTGGCTCATTCTTATTGGCTAACGGGGAGAGGGCCTGTTGAGGTAATCCTTTGAAACGGCGGCGCGGCACTGGAGAACTACCCTCAGAAGCGGTTAGATTAATCCCCAAAGGGAAATTGTTCCGGGTGATAAGGGAGTTAAAAACGCGAAAAGCGGATGAAAAATTAAAAGAGGCAGTAATATCGGAGCATAACACAGCTAAGCCAATTCCGCATTTTTAATAGGCGGCAAAACGCGGATGTTTGTCCGCGGATGAGCGCTTCTCCTCGCGGTCGCAAATCGTCGCTTCTCAAACGTAAACGCGTATCTCGATTTCCACGTGAGCCTGGTTGCACATAAAACTCCATGCTTTTCGGGGCTCATGCAGGAATGGAGGTACGCCCTTACGTCAGAGGAGCGACGAAATGCGGCACTCCCTCATTTGCATTTTAATAGAATAGGAAAGCAATACGTTATTGTTAAAATCCCGCCTCCTCTATATCGGTCTTCCGCCGTCTTTGAAACATACGTTTTTATTTAGTGTCCCCCGGCCTTGCGGTCGTTACTTTTTAGCACCGTGACCATAAAGGATCATGCGACCGTGCTAAGGAAAAACGTCGTAAGAACATTCGAGAGTTGCCAAATTTCCTTGGATAAAACGATTATATTTGATTAGGGATCCAAATCTTCTCTCTTGAAATGTTCGAATAATTTAGATCTGACTCCGAATATAATTCTTTGAATGATTCGAGGAAAAGCATTGGCAGTGGTCCCTGAAAATTCATATTTTTTCAAAGGAAATTTGGCAACGCCTAAAGACTCATGCGGTGTTCTTCCTTTGCACGGAAGCTTGGCCCTCCCTCGTTTGCAATAAAAGTATTCCGTCACCGTACTTTAAAATACTTCAACTAATTAGCTTTCCGTCCTATGTGTTAAAACCCTAACAACTCATGGGTGCGTTAACTACCCTCTGAAGCTCTCACTCGGCCCACTGAAAAAAGGTCCGGCTCCGGATGCAGCTTTATAGGCAAACCGTCCGTTCCAGGCTCAGAGGCCTAAAGTTCAGGGACAGCCTTTGAACCCCAAGCTGGCAAAGCTAGTTGAAAGATCGTAATTACTTCGTTCATCTTCCTCTTTCTGTTACTCTGCTACACTCAAAAAAAGGTATGACTCCGAGATCCATAAAAAATGGTTCGGAGATCCATAATTTCTGACCAAAGTGACTTACCGTCTACAGTATGGCTTTCTGAGCCATACTTTATTGGTCGTGAACCTATAAGCATGGCTCCACGAACTATATTTTATGGCTCCATGATCCACAACTCGGCCGGTAAGTCACTCTTCCCATACTTGTTTTTGGAGTGTATGTTTTTTCAGTGCGATTGTTATTTGGTGAGGTCCCCGAAAAAACGGTTAGTTACGAAGTCAACCGATAAGTAACGTGACATTTGGTCAGAGGTACGATGAAGTCTTTGGTTTCTTTAACATTCCTGAGACTCATAAAAGTCTCTCGGAGGTCGTCCCAGGCGATATGCAAAAAGAGGAGGATTAACCCATATTAAAGGGTGGCATATCCTGGGACTTGGAGGTAGTTTATGAACGCTTTCAAAGAAACCTATAAGGAGCTTATTCACGACGCAAGCTTTTTGCTCATTAATTTTTGGTCACATACTCCTAAATCTTTGCGCGTAGACTAATCGTTTGAAAAACGCAATTCTACCCCACACACAGCTCCGGATTTTACGAACTTATGAACGAGTGCATCTTTTTTCAGGGCGGTGTGCTGTTCGCGTGGAGAGAATCCTCTTTCATCTCATATTGATGAAAATCAAGGACTTTCTAATTTTGGAAACGTGAGTATTAGATACAATTTAGATAGTATACAGGGATGTTTTATTTGTCAGACAAAGTCTCAAAGACTTAAAGTCAGTCATTAAATTGCTGTATTTAAGATATTATCTCACTCTATAAGTTTACAGAAAGCGAAAAAGACCTTCTACGCCATGCCGAACCTTCATGAAACATTTTTACATACATACTCAGGCTCATATATTCCGGCATGAACATCCGACTTTTACAGTTCAGTTTTGCTATTAACTTTTTGAAGATTTTAAAGCGTAAAGCCTTATACTTCTCGGCTGCATTACGTTTCCGCGATTTTGAACCAAAAATGTTTCCGAGTAAGCATAGCAAATATTTGTATCTGATTCGCAAATAAGTATTAATAATGCTTCGACAAAGTGCACAATTTGGAAACGCTGCAATATAATTTCAATACTCCGAACGGAAGATTTTGATTGATACACAATTTTGTAATTTTATTAAAATTGTGAAAAGAAAAAGAGACGATTTTCCTTGCAAACGTATTTTATGAAAACCCCCTTCTCGCGCATATAAATTTTCAGCTGTTATGTAGGCTCGTGATCCACCGGGACTGACATGTACCTTAAACGAGAAGATGTAAAAACCAATAAAATTATTACACGTGGTCCTAGCTCATTACAAAACGTTTAACCCTTTATTGCACAGCGTTGCATGAAAACAACAAATGGTTTTCAGCTTTATTTCTGTGCTGAAGTATATTAAATTGAATCAAAGCAAGAAATAATTTTTGAGGAGCATTATAAGTCTAATATTCTAACTTAAGAAAAAAAAACTACAAAAGCGATTCCAACTGACTCTGTTGTCGAAAAATTACTGAACAATGTAGATTTTCTCTCAAAAATCAACGATTAGCTCATGCAACAAAGGGTTAAGTAATTGAACAATGAACCAGAAAATATAACTTAGAATGCGTCTTCATATGGAATGATGTACACATTATATATTTATAAAATACACGCTAATAATACCCTCAATGGAGATGCTGCATGTGTGAGGAATTTGCAATTTGACTGTTAATTTCTTTTGTAAAAGTTCGCGAGAAACACGATGGTGCCTCTGGTTTTCACTGAAATCAACTCCAAAGCTCAAAAAAGCTCTCAAGTTGAGGCCAAAATGGAGGGGATATCCCACGCTATCCTGTGAGCCTACCTCTACATCAAGACAAACTCTCCATGCAAAGATAGGGAGCAGAATACATTGACAGGGCTGCCACTCTATTTGGGGACTCCAAAACTGAAAACACGGCAACCCCGCTAATATATTTGCTCCCTATCTTTGCATGGAGAGTTTGTCTTGATGTAGAGGTGGACTCTCAGGATAGCGTGGGATATCCCCTCCATTTTGGCCTCAACTTAAGAGCTTTTTTTGGGCTTGCGAGTTGATTTCAGAGAAAGCCAGTGGCACCATCGTGTTTCTCGCGAAGTTTTACATAAGAATCACCAGTCAAATCGCAAATTCCTAACACATGCAACATCTCCATACGCAATAGTGTTGCCAAGTAGATCAATTTAAGAGAACGTAAACGGCAAGAAAAATTGAACATAGTAATCGCGAACCTTTTGCGGAAATGTTCATTGGTAGGGGTGCAGAAGCTTAACGCATTGTGTTTCTATCGAAATCTCAAAAATCTCACTGAACTCATTCTGACTGTTTATTTCCGCAGCTTGTAGTCCGTGAACTGAATCGGTTGGGAATGATCGTGGACCTGAGTCACACGAGCGTGAAAACGATGGAAGATGCGTTGAATGTAACGGTTGCTCCTGTCATTTTTTCTCACTCGTCCGCCTTCACCCTTTGTAATTCATCGCGCAATGTTCCTGATCATGTGCTCAAACTTGTGGTGAGTGTCCACATTCTCTTTTGTGAATTTTGCATTTTCAGCGGCCATTCATCTATGACGTCAGATTTTTTTCCCTCAATTTATGACCCCCTTCCTTCTTATACATATATAAATGTCATTGTTACAGCGGTCGTTGGCGCTCTGCACGTTACCAAAAGCTCGTTAGGTTCGGTAGGTAGCTAAAAGCCAGCGGTCTGTTGGAGCACATCAATAAAATGTTTCGGTGAAAAAAGTTTGATTGAAACCTCCCGAGACAAAAATCCGAAAGAAATCGATGCCGAACTGTGGCAATGCAATTACTTTATTTATTATTATAAAGCACAAGTGCGTCGATTTGAGGAACAGTGTTAAGACAGTTCAAAGTTATACTGGATTTGTTTCTGCATGCTGGCTTCTCGATATGGTCTTATTCTGTAATTTTATCATCATTTTTTGGATCATTTTATAAATATTTAATTTTCAAACAGTTGAGCATAATGTGACGGTTTTCATTGTTTTAAGCTCCTGCGGTCACATGAAAGATACTTACATGCACATGATTTGTTTCAGGCCTTAAATGGAGGGATCGTTATGGTGAGCTTCTATTCTTATTTTATCACATGCAGCAGTGTGGCAACAATGGATGACGTTATCGGTGAGTACCGCTTTATACTCCATTTTTTTGAGGGAGGGAGAGGAGACCTTTCATATACCTCAATTCTTTTTTTGCTAAGGTTTGTCTCCTCGATCAAGAACAGCTTCACGAACATTTTCAGAACACGAGATTTGTGGGTTGTAATTTACAGATGTATTAGTCATGAGAGGATAATTACTGCTGAGGTGAAGGTAGAGATGCAATCTTAACCGTTCTCAAATTTTGAGTTTTTTTGCAAGGAAATAAATACAGAAAGATGAATAAGAAAATAAACAAAATAATTACTATTTATTTAAAAGTGACAGAGGTGTAAAATGGTGCTGAGTTCGCACCATTCTGCAGGGAAATCAAGGCCAAAAAATTCCTAAATTCTGCGAAATTTAGCGGCGACACGAGGCATGACGCCAGAGATCGATTCTCGCGGCATTGACCGCTCCCTAACGGAAAAGCACACATTCCCAACTGTGCGTATAGACAAGAAAAAAACTCTAAAAACATGGCCCATAATTTTAGTATTTTTAGGTACTTGTCATACAAACAAATACGGATGAATTTCTGAGAATCCAAGTAGATTGCGAGAATTGATCATATCTTCTTCACAGCAATTTTGATTTAATTGGGAAAAAGTGCAACCGATAAATATGAAAACGCTATGTTAAAATTGAACTAATACCCCACTTAAATTCTTACAATACGTAATCATCTATGGAAAGAATACTTAAATATATTTGGATCGAATTGCCAATTCACACCCTCTACTAGCACAAAATAAACTGAAATGACATGAAGCTGTTATTAAAGAAGACATCCTCTCACCTCCTTCTGAATAAATCAAAACTGGCCTGACCCCCTCCGCCCTTTCCTTCCCAAACTTTATAGACAATTACGGCGGGAGCCCAAAAAATAGCTGCGAAAAAGTTTGTAAGAAAATATTATCTTACCCTATTCATGGAAGGAGCTGATACCCCCCTAAAAAGGAGCTAAGCGCGAGACTCGGATCACTAGACGATCCGAGGGCGCAGCCCCCCAGTTTATTTAAAAGGTGGCAGCTTACCTGGACTGAGCTTGACCTCCCCTCCTTCCTCTCGTAAGACCCCATGAGGAAAGTAGAGACCCCCTCCCCTTAAAGTAGTTTACGGAATGCTTGAACGGCTCTCAGAGATGTTTTTCCTGCCAGATATTCAAAATTTGATTTTTCGACAATGTCGATAAAATTACTCTGCTACAATATATGCCTTTGAGTGAGGAGGCATTTTCTTTACTGCAGGCGGTCGTAGTAATAAAAATATTTTCAAGAAACATTACGTGAAAATTCCATTTTCTTCAACAAAGTCAACAGGGGAAAAAGTGACAAATTACGCCGATGGACGACGTGGATGGCGTCCCTGAAGCAATAAATGGACGTATTTAAGTGAAAAGGGACTATCTTCATTCTGACATGAACCTTGAGATCCTCCTGAATGCATGCATGACAGGGCTCATGTTACAATGGACATAGCTCTCTTTGATTTAAATGCGTCCAAATGTCCCTCGTTATTAGTTTTCGTTTGAATATGAATAATAGCCAGAGTTCGTTGGTTTTGTTGACAGCTCACATAAACCACATCCGAAAAGTTGCTGGCGAAGATCATGTGGGGCTTGGAGCAGGTTACGACGGCATCAACTAGTAAGTGTCCTTTGACGTCGTATTGTGATGATGGTGCACATCTTTCCATTTCAATTATCATGGGCAAAATTAACAGAACTGTAATTTGAAATTCAAGTAGTTGGCTCCTGAATCTGAAAGTTTAAAAACTAGTTTGTTGGAACTAGCGTGCATTTCGCAATAAGGAACTACAATTTCTGGATCATACGTATAAACACCTAACTGCGTAGAGAATCTAATGGCACATATCGACGGTGAAACTCCAAACCACATATCTCGTTTGCGATGTTAAAAAATTTCCGCTCCTGTTTTAGTATTTTAAAGGAGAACAAGTCAATATCACTCCTTGAAATTTTCTCAGAATTTGCTTCGCATGGAAATGGAAAATCACGGAAGTTCTTAAGAATTAACGTTGAGTAGTTCTCAATTTAAAAAAATCAAGTGTAACTGGAAGTCTGATACTGATATTGATACTGAAACGTTACTGACAGTTACTTTTGCATTACTGACTGTACGACTGTTACTGATCGGACTCACGAACTCTGATATGCTTGAATTAACGCATCAAAAAACGTCAAGTATCCGAGAAAGGAGGTAATTTTAGTAATTTTCGTTGCGCAAATCTTTTCTAAGTAAAATTTCAATCCGGAAACTTATATCAGAATGCTTTAATTTGCACCTTGTCTAATGGTCTATTTGCCTACTGAGTCGGTGCGTTGAATTTGCCATCAAGTTCGAGTGGTACATACTTTGCCACGCTTTAGTGCTCGAATAATTGCTTTGAGCTTATAAGCTCGCCTTCAATTTACTATGCCATGCTCAGGTGGTCGAATAGTGGCATGGTTGCGCATATCTTCGCTGAGTATAGGTCGCGACCATTTTTATTGTTGTTCCCTGAAGAAATATCTAGAAAATTCCTTCATTTTCATCATATTTTATTCTTCTGAATGTATATCGTGGGTATTTCCATACATAAATTAAGCCGCTTTCACAGCGCCGCCTCGCGCTCTGCGACGCCCAATCACTATTGCCCCCTATCCTCTCCAGCGATCATCAGGCAATTGGCACCATCTGAACTCAAAATGTTCATCATCCTTGCAATACTTAATGCATCACTTAAAAATTATTTTGAAATAAAAGTTTTGAAGGTTTTGCCATGAGCCTAAATTTATTTGTTTGTTTTTTTTAAGCGAAAAAATAGAAAATAAAGGAGGAAAATATCTAGGTTTAGGATTAAATTGAAGAAATGAACTCATGTAAATATTGTCCTCAGTTTTTAATTCTTTCAATAAAGCACGCGGGGGAGAGACTACAGTTCATATGGCTTGCAAAATTTTTTGGTACAGGTAACCGAAGTTCTCAGTTATAACCGTTCTCAGAGAGGAGGGGGGATCAACTATTATTTCTTTTAATTGTTAATCGACTCTTATTGTGAAAAATTAAGATTACTTTGAATTGTTTCAGCACTGCTGCTGGACTGGAAGACGTGTCTCACTATCCGGATCTGTTGGCCAAACTGATGCAGGACGAATCCTGGGGCGAACCCCAAATAAAGAAACTCGCTGGGCTCAACTTTTTACGAGTATTCGCAAAAGTTGAGAAGGTCAGTCATCCGGGCGCTATACCGTATTTTAGCTCTCTATATTATCTTAAAATCGCGGCTCGATTGGACGCGGTAATGCGCAAGAGGGTTAATTACATTTGAAGATTTCAGAATGAACCTACTTGTCTGAAAAACCGATCGAATTTTAGGATTGGAGTGTGAGATCGGGTCCAGGGCAAAGTTTTCGCCCAAGATGATTCTTGAAGTTGTAATGCAGAAAAACTGTAATGCTGCTCCAGGAAGAAGAAAGGAGTTTATTTGCAGGAGAGTTAAAAACCCTAACCGCTCAACTTCTTTTTTTAATGGAGCCTTGAATGGTGTATGCGAGTAATCTTTGTCATTGATGTTCCGAATTTTCCAATTTAGTATGCGTCACCAGCTAACATACATTAGCAGTCCTAAATGATTCCACATGTGCGAGCACATGTGGAATCATTCAGTTTTCGCATCAGTCATCAGTTTCCCACGTGTGCAAAACTCTTAATTTTTGGTTTAGATGCCTTCAATTGAATATATGTAGATCCCTCTATTATTGAGGGATTTTGCAGCCTTATCAAAATAAAATGGATGAAACAGGAGGGAACCAACCGAATTACAGTGTTGTAAAAATCATGTATCTGCATCTTCATCTATCTCAAATGACTAGAATAACAAATAACTTTTGTTTTTCTAACATTTATTTTTGTAATTTTCAAGGAAAATGGTAATTTCAATGCTATTAAACATATATTTAGTATTTTTAAAGCTAACGAGAAGCTGCACAGTTTTTAAAACACTGTAATTGAGTTGATTCCCTTCTGCAGAATGTGATCCAATTGAACATGGATACCGTGCTTTTGTAATCAAAGAGCGAATTGTAAATTGTAATTTTTCCGCGGGGCTAAATCTTTATTTCGTAAGCTAAGACGGCCTAAATTGAAGCCGTAAGAATAGACAGTGAGTTATAAATTCTTTAACAAAACACGACATTTATCACTAACTGTTAAGGTATTGCCTCTGGCATCACCGAAGGCCCATCTGTATGTAGATTATATGGACCCTTGTTTCAGAATCCTCAGTCTCACAGTCAATTTTTCTCCCTTGTTTTAGGTTCAGTTTCAAAGTAAGTTTTACATGTTTCAGGTTCGAGATGAATGGCAGCATGAAGCTCTTCCTGGAGAAGAACATTTGTTAGCATCGAAAGACTTAAAGGCCCCTCCACCCTCAGACTGCAACTACGGCTCGTGATACCCTCACCCTGTCTATAATTTCCCATCCACACATTTATTCCTTCTTTCATTGCCCACGAAGATAATTTATTGAAAGATGTTTCAACATTCGAATTTTCTTTAAGCAACTTCAAAGCCCGGCATGTTTCATGACTGATACGATGCCCATCTTAAAGTTCTCGGATCCTTTTTGGTAAAACAGTTGCAGTGCATATCACGATGGCGGCGCCTGAATGAAACTATTTTCGCTGAACGGATGTTCGTGTTGCATACGCGTAAAAGAATGAAGGCACACTCACATCTTCGGAAAATTAGCGCAGTTTCAGGACATTTTGTCAACGATTTTTTGTCCACGAACCTTTTTTGTTCAGTAGTTTACGCCCACACGTAAAATAAGCAACGCTGACTTGGTTCAAGCGTTATATTTTAGTAGGTATGTAAAATTATATTGACAATAAAGAAATGAGAAATTGAGAGAGAAGGAGGTGTTGTTATGGTTGCTCATTTTCTAAATGAAATGTTATTGCTTTCTCCTTTTGAATCATCTTTTGAAATTGTCATTGGTAAATATTTGGTTTTATTTCCATCCTTAAAATATTCGATGTACAATATACCTTATATGTGTATAAGTACTTTTTTTATTTTTTTTTTTTAATTTTTTCTTTACGAAATTATTGCTTCATTGTGGGAACATTTATATTTTTAAAACGTGACAATTATTTGTAAAACCTTTTCCAAGCGACATTAATCTCAATGAGCCGCAGTTGTGCCGACAGAAACTGCAAAAATTAATAAAAGAGGGAGAAAAAACCAAGAAGCACGCAATCTTTAGTTTTAACCCATTTGTACATAGATCTTTTAGAGTTAAATACGTCAAATTTTGAGCGTTTGATTGCGCTTACACCTTGCTGCAGCACAATAAAAGCACAAAATGTAAAAGAAAAAATTAAAGTGCGTTGGAAATCATTAAATTTGACACGGAACCACCAATATTTAGAAAACACACATTATATTATTATTCTCCTTTGATAAATTGATACATATTTTTTCCCATCAATTTAAATGAGAACAAGCAATGCAGAGTGTGCAAACATTTCAAAATCATGAGTTAAAAAACGCTGACTATGCGAGTATAAATACTAAAGCCTAACAGAGCGGAGCGGCGTGCTGCCAGCGCGAGATGCTCACTGGCGCCTACAAACCTAAGTGGATACTTCACGCATTGCACAATGCTTGAAGTATCCACTTAGGTTTGTAGGCGTCAATGCGCGTTTTGCGCTGGCCGCCCGCCCGCCGCGCCGTGCGGCGGCTCCTGAAGCAACTATTTCACAACAGAGGTGTTGCACAGTATTATACGAAATTGAACGTATTAAGAATGACACGCATCCTTTAAAAGTACAGATTTTTCCTCGCAAAATAAATCAAGATACTTATCGTACACTGGAAAAATCTAAGAGCCTTTAGCTGAGGCAAATATAGAGGTTCATCCGGTTCAGGTATAACAAGGTGGGAAAATCTTGAAAGATAATTAAGTCCTGTTACACCAAAGAGGTGTAGAGAGTTTTAGTAAATTTTGTCTCATGGAATCGGCGCACCCCCATTTTTACCAAAACTCTCAACTATATATTATTGTCCGTTGGACCAAACAGACAAAACAAAAAAACAAGCAAACCCTCATTCTTCCAAGACATTATACATTTTCATCCAAAAACGTCGTGTGCAATTGTCGTTTGTATTTACACGTGGGCCACTTAAATTTGGGTCTCAACTGGCACGTGGACCAAAACTCCCGTGCCGAAAAAAAGCGTGGACGTAAATTACTGGAAAAAACAGGTGCGCGGACAAAAAATCCTTGACGAAATGTCCTATAACCAATAGCGCGCACCTCTTTTTGTGAGGACTGCCAAATTTACAAAACACTAAAACTGCTGCTGGACCACAAGAGTTTAAAATAATCAGAAAAACCACTGGAAGTGCGCGGAATCCTAATAAAATACCAAAGTACCAACCCTCCTCTTCTCATGTGAGGTATCTTCTATTTTGTCAAAAAGAATATTTTCTTAAAGAAACTCTTCCGTCATAAAATTCACCGAAATCGTTTAGCGTTCGATTTGATTTGAGCAGGTTAGCGGGAGGTGTAAATTAACGCAGACGATAGACGTTACTCTTTAATTCATGGGCTATATTTGGAAGGTCTCGACACGTCCAGCCTATCTTTCGTAAACTTTCAATGAGGTTGCATATATTACGGTTCTGAATTTCGCACCGTGTCCATGCAGTAGTCGATTATGTACATCAAGCGTCCACGCTAAATCAGTTGTTGTTAAAAGTGAATACAAAAATCAATATGTCGAATCTTTCGTCGTACCCCTTAAAGTGCGTAAACTAATTCAGCGTGGACTCTAGGTGGCTGCATCATACAGAAAAGAACAATAAGTAAATAGGGTAAATTCAATCAAAAATAGGTGCCTCTCTTTGTGTATCCCCACCACCTAAGTGTATCTAACGCAGTTTTCGTAACCACGGTCCAATGTTTTGTAAAAATAATCTCAATTTCCAGATGGACGTATTCAAATCAAAAGAAACTATACCTATTCTCGCATGAGTCCTGAGATTTATAAGAATACATGTTTAACAGGGCTCGCTCGTGCCACAAGAATATAGTTCCTTTTGATCTAAATGCGCCCAAATGAGCGTGCGCAAAAGCTAGTTTGTAGTCAGAGAGAGAAAAATCCATCATCACACCAGACGAATCGAAAGTTCACTTTGTTCAAAAACTTCAATGTTTACCACTGCCAATGTAATTTACCTGCTCAGTAGTATTTATTCATCTTTTCATGTAAATCAAATCTACTTATTGATCTCAAGTTGTATTTGAATATAGTATTACCTCTCATTAAGGGAGCCTCTTTGTAGTGCTAACGAGGCCAAACAGAGAATAAACATTAAAGCAAAATTAGCTGTCATGTTGAGTTGCTGATACGGACATGTAACGGAAACGGAGAATGTAAATTTATTGTTGAAATTGTAAAACTCAATATACATTTTTCTCACATATACACCGCAGTTCTCTGTAATTCGGATGAAAAATGCACAGTGCCGGCGCACATGTGTGGCGAAAAAATATCAGAAATTTCCCTCTCTCGGCTTGGAAAAAACCATTTCGAGCTGATCTTACTTTATTTTTTAAAAAAAAACGGAGGATCTCACAAATCTGGTGGTGATTTTTTTGTGTGATAGCTTCTGAAGCTTTTTCACAGCTCTCATTTAAAGTTACATTTATTTACTGTAGTTTTTCTCTCCTTACCACCCTTCACAACAATGGTAAAACTTAGATCATTTTATTTTTTTAAAAATCCTTGCATGAATAGTCTTTTGGGATAGTGTTTGTAACCAAACATGAAAACAGGGGTTGCACAATGCTCTCATTTCCAGGAGAGCAAAAGAACGGGATTCAGGTCGGCATTATCGTCCGAGGTCAGCTCCGGAATTTCTCTTTAACACTCTCGAGAATACTGAGTCAAATTTTCGAGTACAAATTTGCAGTATTTACTTAAAAAGAAATAAAAACAATTTGTATCAAATGAAAATGCTCAAAAACTGGCATCAGTGTGTTGGCAGAAACTTTCATTTGGTTCCACCCATCTGCCTAATAGATTGCTCAGATGCAATGGTGATTCTTGCAGGTCGGTAAAATTAGTTTTCCTCAATTTAAATCAAGCACCGATCATCTATGTAAGGCAATTTTGTCTTCCACCAGGATATGATGATTACTTCACCTACATTTCAATAGATGAAATCCAGTCTCTCCACCTTCCGAATATCTAGCGCGGAGTCTATGGGTGGCAATTTTCCATTTCATGGATTTCCTGTTGGAAAAGGGGAAATATAGATTTTAAGAATTCTGACGTAGGTATTATCTATATGTAGACTGAGTAAACCACAAAACAACTGAGCACATGAGCACGTCTATAAAAGCACCTATTTATTTTTTCCAATAAATCAATGGCAGAAATAGGTACCGTCACTGAAGTAAGCCAAACAAGTTGATTTTTCTCTGTTGCCGTGCGATAATACTCTCAGCATTTTTATGTACACGAATTTCAAAATGATTTGAATTTCAAATTAGAAATGAAGGTGGCTAGCTAGCGTGGACATTCGACGGTAAGTTCGATAACGAAAATAACGAATTTAAGCAAAACACGGTCAAACTTTGCAGACGCTGTTGCTAACTTAAGAAATGAATAATTTTAAAAGCTTATGGCATTATTTAAAATGTAAATTATGACTTTAAATTTTGATCCAATGCTCTTGAGATTGAGAATAAATGATTTTTAATGGGTTTCAAAAATTTATGTTTTTTATGTCAATCTGATTTTCTCTATCAAACTGAAAAATTAAACCTCTAACGTACCTAAGTCCAAATTTCATCTGGGTTCATAAACTTTTTTGTGATTTTTCATGAAAAAGAGATTCACTTGTAAGTTTGCTCAAAAATTAACAAGAACCTCAGTTAAACTTTAAGGGACACTCAACAAAACTTGGAGAGCCCGATTTTTCCCCACATTTTTGTTTTTAATAGTTTTTGTGACTAATTTATCTTTCGAGTTCATCCCCCCCCTCTCCTTGTGAATAAAACTAGATTTGAATTTTTTCTCTTTGAAGCAAACTATACCCAACAGAAGAAAGTTATTGTTCAAAGACAACTAAGAATGTGGGATTTAGAGGCAAAAAAAGAAGAGAAATGTTGTAAAAAATAGCAAAGACTCGTTGAAATAGGAAATAAATGTGCTGGCGGGGAAAATAATGGTCGTTTAATACTTCGACCAATTAAATATCATTGATTTAATTGTCTACTAATGATAAAATATATGTACTTTTGCATTAAATTCACCAAATGTGTATCCTTGTATCATTTTTAAAAGAATTAATTTACGTTACTCAAGTTTTAGCGTCCAAAATCAATGAAATTTCCTCTAATATGCACTAAGTTTGGTTTCATTAATACAGATCGACCTTAAATCTGTTACAAGTGTAATTTTCTACCTTACCATGATTTAATAAAACGATTTGGATATTGATGATTTTAAAAATTGGCCTTTTGTTTTACCTCACCACATTCCATAACCAAAGAAAATCCTATACTGATATATTTAGCGTTCACGGCAGGGAGGAATGAAGACGCACCACATGAAGATAAGCAATTCTTTCTTGAAGAAAAAACGACCAGAAGGGAATAAAGATGTTGTTCAGAATACAGAGGTTTATCGCCACATGCTCTATTCAACAATGATAGTGGAAACAAACAATATCAATCCACACAAGTCAGTCATTGTCATTGCATGTCTTTTTGGAATCTATTTCCCGGCCCTCACTCGACCGCAGGGCCAGTGTCACGTAGTAATGGCTGCTCTCATTAGAAATGCATTGCAATTTAACAAACCTTCGAAATGAGCAATAGGGTCTTTAAATTCATCCGCAGGATCACAGGAATGACTGACCTGTGTGGTTTTTTTTTTTTTTTTTTTTTTTTTTTTTTTTTTTTTTTATAAATAAAAAAACGCAAAAATTGTTCAAAGTTGCTAGAGTCGATGTCCATGAATGCATTTATCTTGCCAGGGTTTTAATGTCATTAAACAGTTCAAATTAATGAATAAAAACAATTATTATATACAAATAAACGTGATTTAAAGGGAAGGAGGTGGGGAACACAAATTAACCATGATTTTTCTTTATATTTAAAAGTTTCGCAAGTCTCTGGTGTAAAATAGAGAGCTTAAAAAAATGAATGAAATTTCATTTTGGAATATTTCATGAAATTTCGCAATTCTGGATATTATGTCCGGTAGAATTGACGATCTGCTAAGGGACAATCGCAGGTAACGCACGGGGTAATGCAAGGTGGTTAAGGTTGAAATAGGTCATTAAATAAAAACGAAGGAAATTAATAGTCGGGAATGATGTCCCTGATTTTGTCCATGAAAAAAACAAGATGAAATGCCATTATATTTAAAATATTAGAAATTTTGAAGGTTGTAATTGTCCGGTCCGTCACATATCGCCGAGTTACTATCCCCGAATTTTCAGAAAGGAGTACTTTTTGGGGTTAGATCAGTTATCATGGATTTTACGCGAAAATTTTCAGAATGGGATTTCTAGTCTGCACACACAGATTGAAAAATTGAAGTAAAATTTTGCTTTTCGAGCCAGACAATTTATTGGGAAGGTGTGTTCACTACTTGCAACAAGGTTCAGTGGTAGGGGTAGTGACTATTATTAGGACTCATCGAATCGTTCTCTAACTTCACTTTGAGAAAACTGTTACTAGTGGGATGGATTAATTAGTTGTGAGCACACAATGCTCGCAGTCCTAACCTATTCCGCTTATCGACGGTGCGGTAATATGCATCTCGTTGGCGATGCTTCGAAATCTCCACTAAGGTTTCATCTTAAAATTTTCACGGAATATTCTTCTCAGACGTATAGAGGAATAAATAGGGAGGGAACATTCTTTGTAAAGACGTTAATAACCTAGGATGCTGAATGTCTATAGATAAATTAACTGACTAACTGACACATGGGTAAACAAAGCCTTGTTTACCCATGTTTTATTTCCTTCCTTACTTATTCGTATTTTCGGGCTATGTTCCTGTGCTTTATCGTACAGAGGAAAAAGCAGGGAAGTTTTCAAAAATTATTTTGTGTATTTTTCCATCGGAAAAATACACAAAATAATTAACACAGCGCAACATCGTAAACTGAAGTACGCGTTTTGCATTTTCCTCGTCGATACGAATTTTTTCCAGAACTTCCCGAGCAGATGGACTTCTCTCGTTAAAACGGGTTATTTCTCAAAATATTTCCTGATTTTTCTTCATCCTATTCCGGACAGCCGCTGTTTGATGAGAACGTCATTGACGTCATCCAACGCGACCGCGCCTCTGGTGGTTTATATTGCCTTGATTTTATTAGTAATATACAAGGGCTGCGCGACAAATGCAAGTGAATTGGGTCAATTTTTTTATTTTTCTTCCAGGGGCGATATTGCTCCGTCAACATTCAACGTAAAAACTCTGCGTTGGGTCCTAACTAATTTTGGTTGTTTTGTACGTTTTTAAATTTGTAAAAACACTTTTTTTCGATGCGTGCTTCTAACGAGGTTGCCACTAACGTTTGAAGAAAGGTAAACAAACCAAGGGCAAATGCTGCTAACATTGAAAGCGCCTCATTCCAGTAGCACCATGTGCCGAGTTTGGAACCACATTTGGATACTATGCGTTCTTACGCGTATCAGTCAAACGGGTGAGCTATCCTTAGAATTTGTTTTCAATACATTTTCCACATTCTTCTCATTTCCTATTTCATTGTTTACACTGCACCGCTCAAAATTGAATTCTCACTCAAGAATCGCACCAACAGTTGGACCAGATTTGAATCTACTTTCATCATTCATTCGTCTTCAATGGAATGAATATGACCAACACTAAACTTGCTAAATTTTAGGATTTTCAATCAACGGTACATCGTACCCCATTTAAAATGAAATCTGATGGTACATCACCTGTAAAATTGAAAAATGTTGTTTCCTTTTTTTTATGCAAGTAAAGTAGACCACACTATTGCAGTTTGGCGTTTGGAAGGTTAGATTTAATTCCCTTTTATTATTATGCCTGACTCACACGCTGAAAATTTGCTGAAGTTAAGCCAGAGGAGGTAGAGTCCCTTTATACCCAGAGTTAAGACAACTCGATTATCAGCTAACTGGCAGCCGGCCTTGGCTGGCCAAGGAGGCCGAAACGAGTGCACCCAAACGAACGATATTGAGGGATAAGGATCCGGAATCCTGCGATGTCTGTCACACAAAAACAACAACATCAACAAATTGATCAATTAAAAAGAAAATGAGATTGGTTTGTGAATAATTTCTTAATCTATTTTCATTTTGGACCGATGGCAATAACAATTTACTCTTGATAAACCACAATTAGGTAATATTTTCATTATTCTTGTTGACATTCGAGGTACCGCCATCTTGGTGCACTCGTTTCGGCCTCCATGAGCGAGAACCAATCAGAATTGGATTTTTTTTTAGGCCACTTTCAGCCCAACCCTGGCCCAACCAAAAGTGAGTTGTCTTAACTCTGGGTATAAAGGGACTCTAAGAGGAGGGTGTGATTATCAATGAATGATAATGATCTTTACCTTCAGCTCCGTTCTAGCAAAAAGGAAACATTCATAAATAATTGTGTTTCCGTCTCCTTCATTCTTTCTCCCAATTGCGTCCGATCCATCTTCTTTTTTGGAATTTTAAATTACATGCAAGGATTACCTATGTACCAACGTAATCGTTATTGATCTGATTATGATGAATTCCTTTTAGGTAACCTTCTTTAATTTATTTTTAATATTTATTTTTTAAAATATTGAAATCGTCTTATATCAATAATATTATCCAAAAAATTATCAATCATCGTGTATTCCATGACAATTTGAAAAAAAATAAATAAACACTTACGATATGATTAGGAGAAAGAAAGGAGTGATCATAGAGAAAACAAAACAATCATAGAGACATGGATAAAGCATTAATGAAACATGAATGAGACTTGATTATCTCTGGCGAAATTCCCAAAACACGTATCTCAATAATTGTGGTGTTTTAAAATTTCCGTTCCCGTTTTATTTCATGAAGGAGATTAAACCAACATCATTACTTGAACTTTTTTAAGAATTTTCTTCGAGCAGCGAAAAAAAAACCAAGAAAATTATTATATTTTGACGTTGAGTAGTTTTCTATTTAAGGATTAAAGTATAACAGGAAGTTTGCAACGTCGGAAACCGAGATACGTGATTTAAAAGTTTCGTTGATTATATAGTTCCTGGTGTAGTGTGCTGGTGTGAGAGCCAACTTAAAACATTTTTTCTGCGTCAAAGCACTTAGTTAAAGCGAGAAAATAAACAATAAATTTCCTTTTTTCATCGAAAGTATATTTATATACTCGAAAAACTATAAGCAACGAATAAAGCCATTCACCAGCGGCGAGGCGTGAATGATCGATTATCGATAATACCCCGTTTGAAGCTATGCTAAAGAATCGATTATTAAGATGTTCGGTGCGAACACCATGTTTATCGATCATTTTCCATAGGTTTAAATGGCACATCAATCGATATATCGCAAAGCACGCCACGCCACTGGCATTCACTTGTGCGTTCTCATATTGACTTCTTCGATGCTTTTCGCTTTATTTTAATATTTACATTCCTCCAGATCCTATGAAGTCTGGAAGTGCCAAACCCCCACCTAAAGAAGAGGAACAATCCAAAAAGTTGACCCCAACTCTAACTTTTGGAGATTCTACAAAGGCCTTGCTGAGCGAGGGGGGCAGAATCAACAGTAGTAAGCTCAGGGCCACCTGACTCCGGGACAGCTTCATCAACAGAGGGTTCGTACAAAGCTATTGCATCCCAATGAGATAATTCGCAGTCATCTTAGCGAAAAACACGAGAATTTCGCACAAACGGTGGAAGAATACACATTTTTTTCGGATTTAAAAGTTATCGGGGTCATTCCACGCAAAATCAACCGAAGACTCGATCAACCCTAATTCTTGTCCCTTGTTCATCATCTGATAAAGGCACATAAATCATTTTCCCAATTTTTCTTGACCTCCTTATTATCCGGCTTGGTCTTTTAGAAGTTTGGTTTTTAGCCATTTTGGCAAAATCGACTCTTGCATGCAAATGGGCTTTTCTCGAATTCTATTTGACTTACAGATGTGAAAAAAAAATGGCATTATACTTCATTCTATTCTCTATCTTTTAACACGCACTAAAATTTCTGATCTTCATGGGAGTTGCTATTTGGGGCTGAACCGAAAGGTACTTGGAGCGCAAAATTTTGAAACTCCCTATTTCTGGATTTCTTTTAAAATGAATGGGAGAGAAATGAATTCTCTTAGCAATTCACAAAACCTCTACCACATAAATTTCATACCAACATAATCATCATAATATGACCACCCGTGTAGCATAGTTTTCAGTGATAGTAAATTGATATAGCAACAGATACCATAGTTAGGTAGGTGCATAAAAATGGTCAAAAATAGCAATGTCGCACCACGACATCGCGGTCGAATCGTTCTTATCGTTAAATAATTGTACTATGAAATACGTTTTATGTGATGCTCATTGCTGTTCAGTGATAATCGTTTGAGTTTACATCAAGAAAGGCCCCTAGGCGCCCAAAAAATTCCATTTATGGAGAGTAACAGAGGGAGAAAATTATATGCTTAAGGGAAGAAGAGCACCTTACGAACTACTTGGAAGGTCTCTCAAAATTGGTTCATATTCCGCGCTTAAAAGAAAATTGCAAACAAATGGAAGGTCCAAAAGTAAATATTAATTCCATGTTGTCAATAAATAGGCTTTATACTAATGCTTACTCAAAATATTGCCATAATACTTGCATCTACGACCACTTTTCGGCTAAATATTGATTCCAGACTCACCGATTGTTGATTTCTCTACCGCACCGTCGTCGCACCATCTGCTGTGCTAAGTACGAAATGTAGATCTGCGGGGCGATAATTGAAATGATACACTCAGTCGTTGGCGCGATACGAAAAAGCGGTGACAGAGTCGATATTTCAATAATCGCTCCGCTGAGCGCCTTCATTTCATAGTATATGCCATATAGACAGCAGTAAAGCAGGAATAGTTGTATGCACATACGTCGCCCCCAGTGTCACAACTGTGTATCAGGTTCTTCAGGCACTATTTGTTTCATTTCTGCATGTTTTAATGAAAAAAAATAATCTGGTGTTATTTACAATATATTACATTGCAAGAGCACAGCATAATACATGAAAAAAGTTGTTTTTATTTAGCTCGGTTGCATCCACATTTTCCTCTACGTAGAAATAATATCGATGATAAAGGTTGAAAAACTCGTACCTTGACAAGGCTGTTGTGGCTTTTTTTTTTTTTTTTTTTTTTTTTTTTTTTTTTTTAACTTCTGTAATTATTCTCCTTTTGCGCGAGGAAACTCTGAGAAAATGTAAAAAGATGAAAGGTTCTCCGTTATTTAAAAAGAAAGAAAATAGGAGTGGAGGATATGTGAGCATGAAAACGGCCTCAAGGGGCCTACTAACGATACACGCTGAGCGCATTCCTTGCTACGGTTGAAAATTCGGGCAAAATATGAATTTCTAGAAAATTGACCTTTTTCTTTCAGGTTTCTCCTTCCATTCCGGTGGGGATCCAGGCTACGGTAACCCGACACGTGAGAAGGTCGTTAAGCCGAACCAGCCAGTAGGATCAATGACTCCAGGTTATAAGAGGCTCTTGCCAAAAGAAGGAGGCAGGCCGTCGGAAGAAACTTCAGGGAAACCACAGACGCCAGAGAGTGCAACCGCGAAGGAGGGTTCGTAATCTCCTATACATCTCTTTCACTTGAAACCTGCATAACTTTTTTCTTTCATCCTCACGACGCAACATATGATAGTGTCTACCACATACATTGGTACACTGTAATAATTTCCTTGTTAAGGACTACCACATATTGATATGCACAAACAGATCTTCACAATTTTTCAAAACGGTTACCGGAACATTTCGTCGCCTTCCTGACATAAGGGCGTAACCGCACTCGACGATGAACCCTGTTGTCCATATAACTCAGTACTTTCTCGGGCTCATCTCAAATTGAAGTCACGCCTTTAAGTCAACCAAGCGACGATTTGAATCCGGCGGTGACAGCAATGACGTTGGCGTGGCAAAATTTATTTCTTGTGAGCCATATGGTCACATTTTGGAAAAATGAGTTAGTTAGTCAATTTATTCGGCATTCGACATCTTAGGCTATTAATGCCTTTACCAAGAATATGAAAGATGGGTGCATGCACACAAATTTAGATTTTCAAAGTAAGGGAGGCAAAAAGTTTCAGTTTGCTGGCTGTGTCATGGGCTAAATTAAAGCTGCGAGTATATACATATATACTAAATCGCACCGTGCTATTGGATATTTTCTCACATAAAGTCTTCGGAAAAAATTTTTAGGTGGTATTACTGTCTAGATGATCCTTTGCACAACAACTGCAGTTTCCACCGCTTATGGTATAATTAAAAGGAGCCTTTGTTGCTGGATAAAATGAAAAAATCTACAAATTTTGTATTTGACTCATTTAAAAATATGCAGTTAATAACAGCAACACTTCAGTATAAATCTTCTTTTTGTCTCACATCGTGCCCTCAGATGGTGCAGTGTAATCATTCATAAATAATTAGAATCACATTCAATCAAAATAAATAAGTGTCTATATTTTTTTCAATTGAGAACGGTAACTATTCCCCATTTTTTCAAAAAGTTTGCGAAATGAAGAATATTTTGCAAAATTTACGAGCAACAAAGGTTTTTTTATTCAAATCATAATTTGCGAATAAATAAAGAAATAAATGGAAATATATATGTAGATAAATGGACAGATAAATAAATAAATAGACGACTGACTACATGAAATGAGAACGGTTGTTTTGTGATTTTGTTTCGATCGCAATAAATAATTTTGTAGTTTTTCCGTAAGTACGTATGAATAAAGAAATACTAGCTTCCAGGATCTCTCAGCAAAAGATTCTGGAGCCACCACAATATGAATAGGTTATAATGAATGCTGAGAGGCGCAGCGCGCTTTTCTTTTCTCCCACAGGATTCAGGCATACTGATAAAAATCAAGATGTGAAATTCTGTGCCGCGGTCGACAAAGCGCCCAAAATCCCGGAGTAATGTGCGAATGCGGAGTGAAATTAGCAGCATAAAAGCCGCAAAAAGGGAGGATTTTGCTCCGCAATCTTGTATATCACTCCGTAAGGAGAATAGATTCCGCTCCGCAATTATATCACTCGAGTAAAAACTCCGGCACAGAATTTAATTTATGTGGATTTTTTTTCTCCTCAGAATTCACCTTCAGACCTCTTGACGGAAGCGGTAACACTAATGTGAAACTTGAGAAGCCAGGACAGCCAAAAACGACTCCACAGTATGTGAGGCCCTTGCACAGAGAAGAAATAGCACCATCATCAGAAACAACTTCAGAGGAACCACGGCAGAGGACAGGGAAAGCTCCGGTAAAAGAAGGTTCGTGACCTTATGTTACTCTTTTAACGAGAAATGGACTCTTAGCGGAAGGGTGGGCGGTTCTAGTTTCACCTTGGTTTCTTTAGATAAAGAATTAAAATTTCTAAAATGTTAAAAAACAATTGGACGGAATTCATCAGAAAGGAACCTACCCACATTTTGAAAAAAATCTAGGTAAGAATGCTTTTACCAAAATCTCAAGTCGAGAAAAAAAATTAGTCTGGGTTATGAGGGGTTAACATTTATTTTTTACATTGAGCCTTATGATGAAATAAAACTTCAAACCACTTTTTCCAGTTTCAACTTTATGTGGTTCGGTTCCTTTCTGCTGAACTCGGTCCAATTAGAACATTTTCAACTAATTTTTTTGGGGGCCTCAATAATTGGACGAATCTATATATTCAGAGGAAATAGAATTCTTGGCAGCGTCATACGGTGCTTTGGCCCCCTTACACACAAGAATCAAGTCAAATAATGAAAATATCTCATCTGATTGGCAATATAATAAAACTAGTGGCCTGTGGCCGCGTTGCGGCAGTCAATATATCAAAAGAAAATTCTAGGTACTTAAATAATCGTTAAACAAATATTCTCTAGTATAATTTTTGGGTTAATTACTTAAATCGAAACATGGCAATGATATTTATTACAAAAAAATCAGCTTTGTATAATGTTGTTATCGTTCCTCAGAAACAACTTTTAGGTCATTTCTATGACTCAAGTAATTCATGGGTCAGAGTTTGAGTCAGATGTGGAAGTTTGAGGCGATGATAATATTTCAGGCAGTGATATTCAGATGTTCTTAGCCCTCGTAGTAACTGAGGTATTATATGTAACAATGGTGGTTGTGAAAAATTACCTTTTCGAAACACATTAAAAAAACTGTTTTGGCATCGAGAAAATTTTGAGAAAATACTTGAGATGTGATCTTCGAGATCTGTACATTATGCCAGAGCCAAACATATTAAATTTTTGTGTGAACATAGCAGTTTTTTAAGCGTGTTTCAAAAAGGTAATTTTTCACATCCGCCATTGTTACATATAAGGCCTCAATTATTTTTTAACGTTTTTTTTTTTTAACTTAAAAAATAAAAAGCCATGACATGAACACCAAAATAATAATTGATTAATCAATACATGTAAACCATTTGTAAAATTCATCAAAAATGTATTTATCAATAATAAGCGTTAACTGTTCGATTAAGTAGCGACGCGAAGCCAAGAGAACTTACTATTCTAAAAAAAGTTTTATAGATGTGCAGCTGGATAGCATTTATCTAAAGGGAATCAACGCAATTATACAGTGCAATTATGTGTGACTTCTTATTTGCTGTCACAAGAAACTAAATATGTTCAGTGATAAAATTTAGATTATCTTCCTTTATTACTAATTAAACATTTTTTGGAAAAAATACAAAAACTCTTTCATATTCGAGGATTTTTTTAAAGCGAATATGAAGATACAGACATTTTAAAACACTTATTGTAATTGCGCTGATTCTCTACTGCTAAATGCGATCCAACTGGTCTACATCTTGATGCTTACGATATTTCAGTTACATTTTTAGAGGTTTTAGTTCTTCATATTTCAATAAATATTTAAATGTTAAAGAAAAAGTATAAAATTACGATACAGTCATTTAAAAAAAAGTTCAATTAAATCGATTTGGCCTGTGTTTATTATGTCGTTTCCTGAAAGGTTTTCAATGCGTCTCAAAATTATTCTAGTTTCTTTCCGATCTGCCACAATATTTACCGTGGAATTATTTTTTCGATGATTTTTTGCAGCCTCAGCAAAGCCGAAAAAGGTACCGTTTCTGCAATTGCCCTTTAAGAAAAAAGGAGACACTTGTACTTTGGGCATATTCAAACCAGTAGTAGAAGGTTAGAAGACAATTAATTAAATTTTAAATATAAAAAATAGTGTATTTTCTAAGAAAATACACTAATAATTCGGCATACGAATGGTGCAAATGTTAAAATTAATCAATTCCACATGCATGCGAATTATGTTCCAATCGAAATAATTACCCCCAGATAATCGCTCATTTATATTCATAAATGCCTTGACAAAAAATAGGGCTGCTGGCTAATTGTCGAAATTGATGGACAAAGCAAAGAGAAAGAAGACATAGGGAATATGGAACGATCCTATTGGTTTGAAATGGGTGGCTCCTACAGACTAAGGAAGGAAATGATGGACTAACTAACGGGTCTCCCGTTGGTTAATCGTCGTTAGTTAGTATATTACCCACCTTCTTTGTCCATTTCAACTAGCCGCTTCCATCCACAGGATCCCTTTATATCCCTGTTATCTTCTTTGTTTATCAATTTGTCTATCATTTTGTCTACCAATTTCAACAATTAGCCCACTGCATGGTTGAAAAGTAGCACAGATCCAAGCCAGCCAAAACGAAAAGGATTAGAGAAGACAATAACGAGGGATTTCAAGTGATGAATACAAAAATGATGTATCCTTTTGCTCGTTCAAGCAGCGATTTTTCGCGAAATAACTCTCGGAAAAACGGAATTATCCGGGGTGAATTCGTAACAGAGAAAGGGTGCATGTTAGAAAAAAAATGCCATTTTCGAATGCAGAAGTCAAAAAGACGTACTAAAGAGTTTAGCCAGATTTATATAATGGAAAAAATGTTTCATTTGTATTGAGTAGTAGATACGTATTCTTCGACACTCATCCCTCCTTTATCCTTTAAATAGCGTAACGTTGCTCTTGCTTTTAAACTCTACTTTCACTCAGATTTGTTTCGCAATTGTTAACGCTTATACAATTCAACTTCATTTCCAAAATTTAGGTAACGAGATCTCAGAATACGAATGCAAAGAGCACTGCGTGGCCCAATTCGGTGTAATTGTTCCAGAATATGAAAGCCAAGAAAGCCGAGTAGACATTGCTGATCACAGCGTGACTCGAAAAGGAAAAGAATGTCGCTGCACTTTGAATAAAAAAGGGCTTCAAGAATATTTCAAGAATCATTTTTCCGAAGGGGCCTTCCAAAATTTCTTCGACCTAGCCTACAGCGAAGGATTCTGCGGTGCAAGGGTATGGTTAAGAGATAACGGAGTTAAAGTTCATATTCCGTATGAGGCCGAGGCTAAGGAACAAAGGCTACGGGCTCCATCAGCGCCAAGCACACCACTTTTGACACCGTCTGACACACCTGTGCAATCACCCTCTATGACACCTCTTATTCGAACACCCCAGGGGACACCTCCTCAATCGCCGGGAAGAACTTTTCCACCACAGAAGGTTCCTGTAAGGGTCGATGCAGGCAAAGGTGTAGCGAAGTCATCAACTGGTACTACCCCTAATGACACTTTAAATATGTTTTCAAAATATTTTTGAACCGAAATAAATTGTTTAAAAGATGTTTCTTTTAAACAAAAAGTAAAACATTTCGAACAAAACTTTGAAAGGCTCGAGATGATACGTATTGGTGACGACGACACGTTTTAAAAATGTTTCGATGTCACACTCTTATCATTATAAAAACATTTTTAAGAATTTTCAAAGACATTAAAAGTTATAAATTAAGTAAAAAACACTAGAAACGTGGCCCGAACTGTATATTACAAGGTGGTTAAATGGTACTGGGTCCACGCTATTTTGCGGGGCAAACAAAGCCAAAAAGTTCACAAATTTCAATAGATTAGAGTAACAAATTTTGAGCTGTCATGAGTGCGAGTGTGAAGTCCTAGTCTCCCCCCTCAGTATTTTGTACTCATTTTAAAACCAAACAAAAAGTATTTTTTGACTTTTCCAAAAAAAAAAAAAATCCAAAACTAAAAATGCTCAACTGGGATTCTAAAATAGCCTAAACAGCATTTACTTAATTATTTCGTAGAAAATTGTTTGTGAATCTAAATAAAACGTTTCCGTGACAAACTTGTTTTTGGCGTGCTATTAGGGACGGCGACAGCACCTGGAACACCTGATCGAAGTCGTTTGGGAACAGCTCCTGGAACGCCGGACAGATATTCTTTGAACCGTGACATCACTGGAAAGGGCAAGGCTGTGGTAGATACATCAACGGATACAGTAACAACAGCAATGAAAGACGTAATTGTGGGGTCTTTTAAAAAAAGAGGTCAGTGAAGACTTTTTTAGAAATTAAACATTAAAAAAAAACCCGATAAGGGATTTGCAGCTTCGACGCAATTACTCAGTCCTGCGTACGATCAATACATTTCAAATTTTAACCATTAAGGACGGTCCTGTTGAAAAAGATCTTGATTTCAGGCGCTTGATCAATTAATCAATTATTGAAGAAAAAGTTCTGGAATTCATTGGGTAAAATTCTAAAATAAAGTTAGAGGTACTGTTTTCAATTAACTTTTGATAATGGTACATTAACATCGGTTTCAAACAGGAAATAGTTTTCTTTTAACTTTGTTTTAAGTGTATTTTCCGAAGGAAAGGAAGGTGAGCTACGCTGCCACATTTTGAGCTGAAATCATTTCGAAGAGAAAGTTCCTTCATTAATAAGGGCGCACCTCTGCATTCTCCTTGAGTACAAGTCAATCTGAATGAAAGTTAAGCTCGCATATGAAGCAACAGTTACAATTTTAACCCATGAACACTGGTGTCACGAAATGCATGTATTAAGCTGGAGGAAGAATAAAAATTAAATATCTTATTAACCTAAGGCAATAGAAATGTTTAATCCGTCAATACGTATTATTTTGTCTTGTTGAGGGCAATATATAGAGGATGGCGTTTTCATATCAGCGAAGTACTGCATGGGAAAAAAGTACCCTCAAATTTTTTAAACGAGCGCGAAGATAATCTTCCCAAAGACAGACGATCTCATCCTTGAATACATAATCAGTTAAGGAAAAAATAAGTAAAACATTAAAAAAGCTTTGTCTTAAGCTCACTTAAAAAAATTCGAAAATGTTAGATGGAATTAGACGCAGACACCATGGTACTGACCAGGTAGTTCCGATAGGAGCAGAGGAGTTGCAGAATGTATTTACTCAGCCAGCAATGGCAGTTCATTATTGACGTCCAATGCTTTTTCCGATTTTTGAACCCCATCCTTTCTCCAATGTTTTGTCTCTACTCTCCCTCCCATCTTCTTTTAACCCATGTATGCCCAAAACTATTTTTTTTTTTAAATTTATTTTTTATTTACTCGATGTTTTTGACGTTATGTAGACAGGGTAAACACGTGTTGAGGCACAACAAAAATAAAATAGGCTTGCCTATACCCCAGACATGGATTATCCTGTGTTGAACACATGAAACTCCCTAATTTACACTAACACTAGAAGTCAAAAACTGCGATGGGTCGCTAACGACCCAATGGGCATATATGGGTTGGTTCATCGGGCATACCTACATCTTTCCATCTCCCCTTCCCCAATTATCATCTTTTATGGACGGTTCCGAATCGGCAAACAAATCTCGCGGTTTGAAAGTTGTAGTAGTTTCAAGGGAATTCGAGACTCATACACGCATGGCACTTTTAAAGATGAATGGTTCTTTTGCACTGACTCTTTCTGATTTCAGCGGGCTCTTATTTCTCCACAATTTCGTGCAAGCAAACTTGCTACGAAGCATTCGGGCAACTTCGTGTCCCTGCCTGGAACTACCGACACAGCCTGCCTTTTACCATGCCAATGATCAGAGATAATGGAGTGATCTGCAATTGTATCATGGAAGCCTTCGTCCAAAAATTTTGTGCTGCTCAGAGCAAACTCGACTACAATATACTGGTTAGGAAAATTACAGAAAACTTCTTCTGCGACGGAAAGGTGTACATCGAGCGTTCGACAGGAATGGCTGTCGATATCCAGTACGAGTATGATTCTCGTCCAAACACATACCAGGACAAAGAACTTCCTAAACCAGTATTTGAAGTGTTTTACACTGGGGGAGCCCCTGGAGGAGTCGGGGTAGGAGATATGCTCATTTTGATGGCGACTTTACGCAAAGGTGAGTCGACACACGGCTTCGTTATTCGAACGACTGTCACGGAGAGAAAGATTCAAGTGCTGACAAACTCAAAATTGAGCCACTACTCTTGCACTTTCTCGAACATTTTTGCATTAAGAAGCCCCTAAAAATACAAAACTAAACTTGAGCTTTGACGGTTTGAAATTTGCAGTTCTGAAAATGTGATATTGAGGAAAAAGTGCCTAAGTATTAAACAAAATGCACGATTTAAATGGTGCAAAATGAGGACCAAGAGAGAGTAAAATCTGAAAACATGGGTAAAAAAGTCTAAAATGGGTGTGTTGAAAACCTCTGCTGGATTAAAAAGACAAGCTATTTTTACGGAAAATGACTTTAAAATCTCAATAAGCGCAAGGTTGTCCAAAATGAATCTTTAATTTCAAAATCTGCGTTTTGTCCTTTTTGAGCCTTCCGCTTCAAAAAGAATAAAACGGCAAAGATTCGATTTGATACAAAAGAGTCGCAATGGTCTCACATAAGTCCGCGCCATGCTAAAAACGGTCGCGGTCATTTGACACATGTGACATAACGGCGGCATCTTTACTTTTGAATGAAGTTGTTGAACCGGTATGACGCATCTGCACCTATCAAATTATAAAAAAAAAAAAAAAAATTAAAAGTTTTGAAAAGATGGAAATTCCGATCATTTAATGCCATCTTGGCAGCAAACTGGTCAGAAATTCAATTATTTTCATTACTTTTAATTTTATATTTGCTGCTTCTCCAAGCATGTTTAACTACCACCAAATTATGTCCGTGTCATACGATACTCTTCGAGGTCATAAGCGGATAAATTCGTTAATTTCTTACGCACATTCCGTGACCTTAAAAGTGACTTTCAGATTTTCTTTTGCTGTCATCGTACAAGTATAGAGCCACTCGTCATTACTGGCAACTCTTTTTTATACAAACTGATTGCGGTGGACGCACGGGTTGTAAGACAGTATGTTAGAGTTTTTTAGCCAACTTGCGTTGAAAATTTAGTATCAAGCTGGTATCTCGATACAGAAGGAAAAATCTCACACAAGCACAATTTTCCCTCAAAGAGATACGCTGTTTGATTCAACGCTAGTAACAACCATTCAGAAAAGCGACTGCAGACGCGTGTCGACCTTGTTGCCACTACTACTTGCACCACTGCACCAGCGACCGCTTGCCTAAGTCTCAGGCTGGTTTTCACGACCTCTCCGAGCTTGGTAGCAGGACATTCAGGAGGCTGCGCTGCACTGAGGGTTGGCCCAACAAGGCTGAAATGCGTCTGTCGCCTCCCTGAATGGTTGTTACGAGGGTGTTGCATCAAACAGTGTAGCTCTTCGAGGAAAAATTGTGATTTTCCCTTCCGTCTTGAGATATCAGCTTTATGCTGAATTTTTAACACACGTCGGCTAAGAAACTCTAAAAAGTTTGCAACAGACTCGATGAGTAAACGAATACATAGGTGATCCAAAAAATCCGCAACACCAGCGCCGAGCATCACTCATGTAACTTTTGAGCAAGTTGAGATACAGACTTGAAATGTTAGGAGTGCTCTTAGATCGAAGGACACGACTTTTGGGAACCCTCAAATTTTTGAGGGGACCGCCCTGAAAAGTAGCAAGGGCCTTATTGGTTACAGGCATCGGCAAGAAGTTATGAGTTTCACATTTAATTCGGCATATCTTGCACACAAAAAAAAGACGTATGAAAATGAAGCGTTACTCTCTCTATTGACATCAAAATCAAGTGAACTGATCACAACTTGACCAACTGATGCCGGGATTGTACAGTCCTCTCCATCTTAAACTCAAATTCTGATTTTTCAACTTTTTCAACTCGATAAGAAAAAGCTACCGTGAAAATTTGCGTTTGAACATGAAGGTCTCTCTTCCCGTGGACGACAAAGTCTCCGTGTTTTTTATTAATTCCACTGATTTCATTTAGTGACGTTCGTTTATACTGAACAACTGTTGCCTGTTGTTCAAATGTATGACCAATTTATTCACTGGTTCTTTTTTTTCAATTGTTTCCCGAATAGCGTCATTGTGACAATGTGACCGCGTTACTTTTTGTTTTATTACTTGTTGTGCGCTGCGTTTTGGGCAAGGTATGCTCCTAACTATGACATGACGACACCAAAGAGCCTTTTCTTCATATTGAGTTGGATCCGATCGGTAAAAATGACATTCTTAACTGGTAAAATGAGAAAAATCAACACCTCTTGAATTCTGTATTGTAGAAAACTAATAACATCCCCAGCGAGAATGAGTAATGACGTTATAACTTGTTTTGCCGTAAAAAAATTGTGTAAGAACTGAAAGAGGTGGTACCAGGTACCCACCCCTTTTTTGTCAATAAACATTCATTAAATTACCGATCTTTCACTTGTCAAACCATGATGGAAATAGAACTGAATTTAGCGAAATTTTACGATAAGCGGATCTAAGTTTGAAGTCACGTAAGGGGGAAATATGTCAGTTTCAATTTAATGATTGCATAAAGTATAGACTTTATGCAAAAACCCGGCTCCACCTGGATAATTTTTTGGTAACCAAAATATATTATTTGAAACTTCGAAAATGATGCTAAGTTAAAGGTAATTGCTTTTTGGAGTTCAAAGTTTCGGAATAACCTTTTGAGGTGGTGGGGTGAACGAACCCTAGAGTTTTCCTTTAAAATGGTAGCCCCCACTTAGTGCCAAGTCTTTGGAAAGGGCATAAAAAACATAACTTTTGAATCTTGGCTTTGGGCTTAGACTCTGTAAGACATGACTCTTCAAACCTTTTCCTGCGTCTCAGTGATTTTCCGTCCTGGGTCGCGCCTCTTGGAGTCAACAGCGCACAGTGGGTCCAGTCAATTAGAGAGGTCGAACATGACATTTTTGACTAAAACTGCAAATTTTAATGTTTATTCCGTCTCATTTTAAACTTCAAGGGGTGCTATATTAGACATTTTCACGAGAAAACCAGTGGAGCCACTTTTAGAACCTCAAAGCTTTGTATAAACTAAGATTAAGCGTTTAAAATTTCCCAGTTTTGTTCGACATCCTCCATCGACTCGATTCATCTTGCGGCGCTATTTAGAGAGAGGGAGGCAAGAGATTAGCCCCCTCCTTGCAATTTAAAATTGTCCTTTTACGAAGGCGATTCAGGGGTGCCCAAGGGATTCCATGAAGCCCCCCCGCCCCTCCGCAAGCCAATTGCGTCTCCTTTACAAGCTTTGACTGAAAAACGTTCCTGCTTGCCTCTCCTTCCTCCCGAGATGCGCTTTCGCACAGTTTAGTGTGCATCTCCAAATGATTTTTTTCTTTTTCCAGAAAGAAAAGAAGTACTTACTGATGTAACGTGTCAAAACAAATGCGATAAGCAGTTCGGCTTCATTTATTTGACTGATAAGGATTGGCTTTCTTTCACTCTTGGACGAATGACCGAGGACTGGCATGCATGCGAATGTCTTGTGAATTCTTTGCCTATTAAAGAGCAATTTGGTAAAATAAAGCAACGTTCCAGATGGCCTGAGTTTGCCACGAATTGTAATGAAGGATACTTCCCGGCGGTAAAGTTCTTGGAAGAACGTGAAAAAACATTCAAAATGTGGATCCAGTACGGCAAGGCGCTGAAAAAAAGTGAAGCACGACAAATAGAGAAAATGCGAGGGGAAAGAAAAAAAAGTGAAGAGCGATTGAAGATGATAGAGGCAGGGGATTGTCTACTGAAAAGTTCTGTAAAAGGTCAGTATGAAATCTTTTTTCTTCAACTTACCATTACAAGTGTTCAGTGAGTGCGAGGACTGACTAATTTACGTCTCGATTTGTAGTTAGTTGGTTTTCGACGTTCAGATATGAAAACATGAATCTTGGTTTCATGCATTAAAAATTTTTCATCACAGAATGGGTCAGTGGCGTGGCATGCTTTGCGATATATCGATTGTCATGCCACTTAAACCTATAGAAAAGGATCGATAAACAGGGTGTTCGCAGCGAACACCTTAATAATCGATTCTTTACCGTAGGTTTAAATGGCATAACAATCGATATATCGCAATTCACGCCACGCCACTGGAATGGGTATCTGGTTTCGCAAGAACCAGATCCCGCGTCTCGTTATATTTCACACATAAGTTTTAGTTTAGTGATAAAAATTGGTATGTACCCCGCGTGTCCATATTATCGGATAGCTTGCGCAGTATCTTTTTTTTTTTGTTTAATTTTTTTGCATTATCATATGTATCTAATGCTCTAACTTTCATTCTGCCCAAATTATCTGCGATACCGGCCATCCTTTTGAGAATTTGTGTCAGTTTTACGCATGACTAGCTGAATTTTTATATTCATTTTGACAACAAGGGTGGAGCCCCGATCTTACGTTCGAAATGTTTAAGAGTCAGCTGTATATCTAGTGTTATTTTTTAAGTTTGGTCCGGAAATTTAGCTCTTTGAGATTTTTACTTTCGTGTAGGTGAAAGATATAAGTCATGTGTAAACACACCAAAATTATTCTGACAACGCCCATGACTGTTCTCGAACTAAGTCACGTTATTTTCAAATATGCCTCTTGCCTATTGATCATACCGTAAACTTTAGCACATCTGTCATACCTGTCAAGTTTTGAAAAATGAATGCACGCGCAGCTCCACTATGTGCTCGGCACAGCTATGATATTAGGGAAATTGCTTATTTGGCCAGTATAAAAAAAATCAAAGGAAATACGGCTCAAACACTGCTTAATAACTCGTCACCTTCCGGCCAAAGTATCACAAGCTTCATGCGACGTTTAAAAATTTCTGCCGCCACTTTATTTATTTGCACAGAACCGAAGCTGTCCAAAAATTTCACTGAACTTTCTTTGTGCTGCCGGATAAAATTCAGTGAAACTTTCAAACAGATTTAACCAAAAATTTCTCTGTAAAAAAATAAAATGGTGGCGGAAATTTTTAAACGTCGCGTCGCATGGCGCGTGTGACACTTTGGCCGTAAGGTGAAGAGCTGAGTATAGTACTCAGCACGCGGCTACATGCCATACTCAGAATCGTAAAATAATACCTGGTCCACATTATTCTTAGGAAAAATCAAAGCTGCAAGTGTGACAGATTTAAACGTATAGGTCTATTTCCTCTTTCACAAAAAATGGGAGTATGTGAAAAACAATGTATTAAATTGTATTTGCGTATCTATTTCAGGCATGCGATTCATGAAATTTAGCGGAGAAGAATGCGCAGCCAAATGCAATCGGGAGTTCGGTTGGGTCGTCGCCTTCCAAAATCAGAAATTTCCATTTGCAAGTCCCAGATTATCGACGAGCAAGACAAGGTGTGAATGCTGGTTTAATACGAAAGCTCTCAGACCTTATCTTGAAGGCACCCTTGGCCTCGACTTCGTAGACTTCATGAAAGTCTTAGCTAATGGTGGTTACGAGCGAGGTGTTGAATACTTAGCTGCGTTTGATCCAGAGAGAGCCGATATCAAGGGGGTATTGGAGAAAAAATGGCCAAAGATGGGAGTTAAAGTCGTGGATGAAAACGGCGAACTAAAATTTCAAAAATACACTGTAAGCTCTGGGACGACCAGACCGTCTGTGACGTTTGGGGCGACTGGGACACCTGGGACGCCTGGGACGCCTAGGACGAATAGGACGTTTGAGCCGACTGGGACGTTTGAGCCGACTGGGACGTTTGAGAAGACTGAGACGTTTGGGACGACTGGGACGTTTGGGACGACTGGGACGACTGGGACGACCAGGATGTCTGGGACGTCTGAGACAACTGGGACATCTAAGGGGTAACAGAGCTTTAGGGCGACAGCAAGAGCTTCAAAAATCCCCAAAACCGGGCATGGTGTGAATTAAACAATAATTGTCAACGTGGTACCTAGTTCAAACAGTTGATACTCGAATTAACAGAGAATTTGGTTTTAACAGTTGTATAATTAAAATACCAGTAAAATGAACGTCAAAAATAGAATTCCACACGGAGTTTTGGTTAAGTAAATTTCTTTTAGGTGGGTTTGTATGAAGTGAGGATAGATTAAGTTTAGGCTACTTAATAAAGGTTAAGTGAAGATAAGACAAATTAAGTTCGGATCGGCGATTAAACATGAGGTTATTCCGTAAGCATACCCGGCACAGTCGCGTTTTGTTAAGTAAAGTTAAGTAAGATCCGAAGAAAAGTTGAGACTCTCCAATTGCTTCCTGGTGACTACTGCAAAGTACTCATGATCCAGTCGAAATTAGTGAAAATTGAGTAAACTTATCTTTTACTTGATACCTCACTTGTCGAGACGTGTTTCCATTCAATTATTTTTTTTCATACTTGAAATATTTCCGTTTCCTTTATTGGTATGCTGTTTTTTTTTTTTTTCTTTCATTTTTAACCATACTTAAGTACTCATTTTCTCCCCACTCTCATACTTTTTATAGGTATTTTGGGTCCGAATGTAATATATTTGTTTCTCTCTCTTTTTGATTTGCCTTGAATTTCAAGTAGTTTTCTTTGATGATCATTTTATACATATATTTTGCCGGCATTTTGGTTCCTTGATATTTTCTTTTTTGTTTGTAACGTCTTTGGGTACGACTCCCTCCCTGATCTCGGTTCTCCTTATTACTTTTGCCAATCATTAAAAAAGCAAATCGTTCCTTCAATTGATTTTTAAAAATACTCCATTTCTAAAAAAAAAAACTTCGTATTATTTATTTATTATTGTCCATTATTCCTAAGCCACTGAA